CATCACCTCCTCAAGTAGTTCTTCTGGTCTCTGAAGTATGTCAAAAGTAGCAGGGCAAGAAGCTAAAAATTAGAATTTGGGATCTTAAAATTACTTCACACATAAGTAAAAGAAAAGAACTAGAGACAGAGAACAGATTGACATTTTTTTCCAAATATAGACACCATCCATAGATCCTTAACTTTCCAACTTGGCTCATAACAAGTACAAAAAACATGCTTCATAAAACTAGAGAAAATCTGGTTTCCTCAACCAAAGATCACTTTGATATTTGCAAAGATTAATTTTTCCTAGGTGTTTAACAGAAAATAGAGCAAAGTTTGAAAAAGGAAAACCCAGAAATTAACCTCCAATGGAAATAAAAAATTATTTCACTTGCACAAGTACGAATATGTGTTGATTACCTTTTGCACTTCTCCATTGACCCGAAAATCTCCACCAAATGGGACAATCTTGCACACAGTCTCACCCACCTTGAATGCTTCTCCAAATGTTCCTTCACCAACCTTTGATATGTTTTCTGAATCACTGAGTTTGAACAAGAATTTAGTTTCTTAATTAATATCATGATAAAAGTGTAGTGCAAGTGCAAAACTAATAAGAAGAAAAGAGTTAGCAACAAAGATCCCCCTGTCCACCTCCAAGTTGCTTATGTGCAAGCTCAAGTTGGACTTCGGATAAATTTAGCAGGAAATAAAAGATGTTAAAAGTAAGATTTAGATAACTTGGAAGTATCCAAGAATCTACTACATCACTTGCTGTGAACCCTGATTAAATTTCTCTACGAGCTCTATTCAGTCTTCTTTCATTTTGATTTTACTTCTAATCCCATCCTTGAGAAGAGAAGGCTGCACCTGGAAATGTAACTATGCTTCTACAAAATTTACTAAATGACGAAGTAAAATTCAGCAAACTAACAGATTTGTAAAATCCTTTCTGATTTTGTCCAGAACATAGGTGAACAAAAACTAGAAGCATAACAGAATCCAGTCATCAATGCCATGAAAATTGACTGTTCTTTAAAAATTGAGGCAACAAGCAATGCCATGAACTATAAATCTGTTGCAAATTGCAAGAGGTACAAGTGTACTGCATCAAGACTCTGCTTGTTCAAACTCAAACATCTTTTCTTACTAGATACAAAATATCAAGCCAAATTTGGTGCAGTGTCACTTTATGTTCTTCCTGAAAATCCCATAGTAGATGTGAAACCACTTAATAACTTCCCCAATCAACTATTTTCTTTTTCATGATTGTGTTTCAAAAAAACAAAAAGAAACACTAGTCCTGATAAAAAAATGAAATCACTTTCTTTGACATAAGCAGGACATAACAAATAAATAAAATCTCAAGCAATCATAATAGGGATTAAAGAGGTAACATATATACAAACCAGTAACTTAAAAGTACATCCAATAGTGTTGAAGGAGCTGACTGTCCACAGGCTGTCAACAGAGCCAACAGTGGATCCCAGCCCAGACCATCCTGTGAATCATGGTATGAAGTCAGGGAGAGTTTACCAACTGCAACTTGAATATCCTCACAGCTCTTCTCGCTACACCTTTCTGCTGCAGAAGGCCTTATGGAAAAATCTCCACTCAGAGAACTAAAGTTGATTCTGTTCTGGATAGATAAGCTTGGATGGATTGGAAGGGATCCATCTTCCAAGGTTCTTAGAGCTGAAGAAACAGATTCCTTGCAAACTGCTGGAGTTTGCAATATCTTTGTCAGAGAAAGGGGAGGCCCACAACCTTGTTTTTGAGCAATTAGCCATTTCCGCAGCACAGATGACAAATGCGGTACGGCCACCTTATCAGTTTGGACACCCATGAGCCATGTACCAGATCTCTTAGGTGAGGGGCTTTCCTCCAACAACTCGAAGGAATCAACCTCTTTAAAATATGCAATCTCTTTATCAAAGCTGGAAGTCTGTATAGTTTTTCCCTACATAGAACGAAGAATTAAACTGAAAGAGGGAACCATACATGAGTTGGAAATGCTTCCTACATAAGTCTAGCATTTGTTTTTTAGCATTATATTGTTTCAAGCTAAAATATCAGCAAACCAACAGTAAATGCTCTCCTGTTTTCGACTTTTCAGCAATGTTTGAAAGCTACTGAACCAACTTTTTGCTATGCTTCTTAATGCAACCAGTGCCACACATAAGGGAGTAATATGTCAAAAATGTAAAATTCTAGCTGGAGTTTAAGAAATGAGGCAAAGGCATTAGTGTATACCTTGGGAAGAGGTGGTTTCCCTTTCCTTTTACTTTTCCTTTGTTGAGGTTGGTAGCCCACAAATGCCTCAACTGTGATGCTTGTCCTTCCCCTGTGAATTTATGATTGGAAGGTCTTAAAAATGTGTGTTTGGTTTATCATGTATTACGAGCTTGCCACAGAAAGGCTTTCTTCAAGGAATGCTGATGTTTGAACCGGATAAAGGTTCAATGGACTTAAAGATGCGGCATTTTTTGAATAACTTATGGTACATTCACTATTTGACTTGACAAGAAAAGTGAACAGGCCAGCCAAATAAAGATGCTCCAAATTTCAACATGAAGAACCTAGATATACGAACAGCAAAAGGGGAAAAAACGACTCCAGTAGTGTGCTCACAGTCTTGTTCCGTGCAACCTCAGGGCAAATTCACAATACCTTCGGTATGCAAATCAGCGCATGCCTTCTATTTAGCATTATTCAGTAGTTTAAACTGGAGTACAAGCAAAATAACAGGCTGACGAGATCTCGCTATAAACATGTTGTTCTGTAGATACTGTTCACCATTGCTATTTTGGGAAAAGTCACGCTTAATAGTATCAGATCTGAAGGGTATAACAAAATTGAACCTCTAACCTCAAAAAAAATGGTAGAAATAACAACTTAAAGCATGGATTAAAACACTACATCCCAACATAGCTCAACCTATCAAATGCAGAACTTCCTGCACACATTTCAGACTATAAAAGATTCAATATCAAAACCTTCACCAGAGTTCCTATCTCTAAGCTACTAGCAGAATGTCCCCTATAAAACATCTTGCTAACTTTCTACTTGTTAGCCATCTTTTCACTTCATGCCTTCATTTACAGAGTAAACCGTGAAAACAAAAATTTGAATTTTGGAAACGTGCTAAAAGCTTCAACTTTACTTTAGTTAGTCCTAATTCAGAACCACAATCCCTCATTTCTGATCAAAACTGCCTCACGCTTATTCGAAACTCGGTTAATTTTGACAGGTATAATTAAATGCAAGGAAGTCCACAGCTCTCAAAGATCAAACAGAAACGTACACATGTACAGCTTGCATCACTACATAATATGAAATTGCCACAATGCCGTATTTTTGCCATCCCAGCAAAAAATTATTCAGCTAATAAGGAAAATTAGGGCACATACCTAGTGGAAAGTGATCGATTCCAACTAACTCGTTTAGCAGGCACTAAACTCACCCGATTCTCATTTAGCGAAGTCAAACTTGAATTTGACTGCCTTCTGAAATAAATTACTTTAAAAATTCAATATTTTGAAAGAAAAAAGAAATTATATTAACAAAAACGAGAAAGATGGACCTTTCTGCTACAACATCTTTGCTAGGATTCTGGCATTTTCGCCTTCGATACAACACAGTGATTTCTGGTTCTTTCGGCTTTAATGAGTTCCCAAAATCACTGCCACGGTCAAGATTACCATCTTCTTCGGCTAAAATTTCTTCCCAGAGATCACCTAAAAAAAATCATACCGGAAAATATGTGTAATTATGCATTAAAATTCAAACCGAATCACTGTTGAAAATTAGGGCTCCAATTTTGCGAACTAACCACTTGATTTTGAAACCATCATTGGAACTTGATAGGAATTTAAATGCAGGAGCAGGAGAGTAACGTTAATTGCTGTCATTTCAGTGCAGGGGAAGCAGGGGGGAGCGATTTAAAAAGGTCTAATGAGCGGGAAGGAGAGCTGCGACGTCGTTTTTTGATTGAAAGCAGAGCTCGCTTACGTTTTGGGCTGGAGATGTTTTATGTCGGCCCAATTGAGTGAAGGACAATTATCCAATTAGGATGGATAGAATTTGGGTCCAAAGTAGTTCAAAAATTACCGGTCCAAATGTAAGAAGGTCAATTTCTAGTTTTTAATTTTCTTGGATTCTTTTACATTTATTTTGGAAATGGAGAGGAATAATTGACTCATTGAAAAAGTGTAATATTCCACCTCTCCCCTTAGTGTATAATAAACGAGGGAGTAGATTAGAAATTATCGAGTTAAAAAAAAAAAGAAAAAAAAAAGCGAGTGTGAGGAAGGGAGACAATCGTTTCTTTTTTATTCAATTTTGTTAGACGAGAAAGAAAAACTAATCTATAAAATATAATGACTTTTGTATTATATTTTCTTGACTGTTGCCTCGCTATTATTTTTTCTTTTCCTCTTAATTACAATGACATCAGTTTTAGGGTCATTTTGCTACGGTAAATCTATGTATTTTTCTTGCTCCAAATTTAGTTGTCCTCCATAATTAATGTGGTTTTGTAACAAGAAGGAATAAAAGGCCTTGTCTGGCAAGCAAGTTTTTGGCCAAATTTATTTGCTACAAGTTTTTTTAACAACTTTACCTACAGTAATCATCAAAAAACTTTTAAAAAATTTTAAACTATACACTTCAAAATATTCAAAAATCTACACACTTCAAAATTTTTTTCTACAATTTCTACAGTATTTTACAGTAAAGTTTTAGACAAACATTCAAAAAATTCACTTACCAAACGAGGCCAAAATGTAACACAAAAACAAAAATAGTAGTTCGTTATCCTTAATTCTTATTAATGTGAGTAACCCCTCCCTCTCCCCCAAATTATTATTATTATCAACCTATATAGTAAAAGCGCGAAAGGATTCGTTAAGAATGGTGGTAGTTGTGCTGATGTGGCTGCATTTTATTCGCTGGGGGGTCGTCCTCCATCACGTGGGGCTCGCGTGCCAAAAATTTTGTTTTAGGGCTTCCCTTGTTTTCTTTCCCCTCGTTCATCTCCGCCGCTTCGTTGCTCTCCAGATCTCATCTCCTCTCCCCTTCCATTTTTCTTTTCTTTTCTTTGTTCCTTTGTTCCTTTTTGTTGTTTTTTATTTGGTCCTTTTTCCTCTGTTTTTCCTTCCCGTTTCCCCCCTCCCACCTTTTCCCTTTCTTCTCTTTCCTTTTTTTTTTTCAATTATATGATTCTAACTGATATTTTTCCCTTGTTAGAGTTGGTCTGGATATGAAGCTCCTAAACGCACGAGACTCTGGCAGCTTCATCCGCGAAGCTACTTGTATATGTGGAGAATCAGAGTCCGAGAGACAAGCATACCAGTACCGGTTTTTGGTGCCAAGCTCCGACAACAAGACCTGCTGCTGCCCGGAGTAGACCGGAAATTCGTTTTCTTGGATACCTGAACAAGCATGCCAATTTTGGTTATTCATCTTCACTTTCACTTTCCTTTCATCGGAAAACCATTCACCCCATTTCTTCTGTCCCTGCTCTGTCAGAGGTGATCTCCCTTTCGCTTGCTCAACTATTTGTCATCAACTTCCCGCTCTATTTATTGCCATCAACTATTTGTCAGGGTGTTTCGCTAACACCCTCTCCCAACGGATGTGCTAATGCTTTTTCTTGATTCCTTATCAAATCCCCATTTAAGGTTTCTTAAAAAAAAAAATTAAGGTCAACAACAGCCACAAATGACCTTCAATTTTCTGGCTTTTGTTTCTGATCTTTTTAGATGAGATGAGCTACAAATAACCTGTAGATTTACTCAACTTTTCTCTGTTCTTCCAATGGTCTTTATTTGCTTAAAAATTAATAACGCTTGCTTTAATATCTCTGTTACTCAATTATTTTCTTAGCGATAAGAACTTTGATCTTCTAATCTTTATATCTTAAGATTTTTAATTTTATTTTATGTGTCTTATGTTTTATTTATCTGATTTCCTAATTTTTATAGTATTATGTTTGCAGGAAAAAGATGACAACTTTTATGGGATGCAAATGCAAGTACTTGTGGATATATTCCATCCTTTTCTGTCCTCCAAAGGTCTGTTCTGCTTTATTTATCTATTGATTTATTTGTTTATTTATTTTTTGCCCATAAAAACTGTCCTTTTAATTTCGGTCTCTACTCTCAAATGACTTGAAGTTTTTATTTTGCCTTTTATTTTATTGGATTATACTATTATTTTTATACAAAGGAAGATGAATTTATTAGGTTTTAGCTAAAAAATAGGCATGAACATCAATGTTTTCCTCTGTAAACATTTTTTCTGGTGCTGTTTGACAGAAAGTATGAGTTATAGTGGTTTCTTAAAGCATTCTAGAAGCATTTAATCCCTAAAACACCTATGCATTCTAGAGCCCCTGTTATAGAAACACTGATTGCTTCTTTTCTTGGCGCACATTCATTTGTGATTTTTCCCATCTTTTTATTTCGTTTATACTCTCATATTACAATTTGCATTTTTACAGAGTGAGGAAGAAAAGGAAGAACAACCTCTGTGGTAAGAAACTTTTTACCCCACAAGTTTTTTGCTCTGGTTTGTTTCCCTTTTCAATTTGTGACCTTTCCCTCTTTCCCTCTATGACAGAGGTTTGTGGAGGATGGCAAAAAATTGTGGTAAAACTCCTACTCCTATTTTTTTCACCGTACTTTGGGCCTTTGGTTTTTAGATTTTAATATTCTTCTTTTAAATACTAGCTTTGAGTGAATCCTTTTACCTGTCAAAATGAAATCTGCCAAAATTATACCAAGTGCATCTGTTAAATCAGAAGTTAAATGATAAATAACATTAACTAATATGGAACAACAGGGTCGAGGTTAAGACTTTTCACTTTCACTTTTGCAGAGAAGTCTAAAGATTTTCCGAAGAAACCTCTAAACTGGTTCAGGAATCATTTTTTGCTCAGTTAAAAGTTGCATCCTGTTGTTCTTTTCTTGTTTTTTCACTGAATATGGGACCTGGTCTTCATGCAATTTCTGTCTCTGCATCTTTTAGGACAAGTCAATATTTCTAAAGTAGTATATGTTTGAGAGTAAGACTAGAGAGATGATTGTCTACACAACCGAAAGTACTTTGCCATTGAAATTTCTCAGGGATAAATTTTTCCCCATCAAATTTTTATCTCGGGCCTTTTCTTTTTTCTTTCTTCTTTTTCTGGTATCCACTACAGGAAGAAGCAATCTTTATTTGTGGTCCAGGAATAAACAAATGGTGAAGATAGCCTTTAAGTAGGTGTTTGTTCACCTTTTATTGTTGTTTTTCCTTTTTTGGGTTTTAATGATAGTATAAGTTCTAATTAATTGAGTTTCTATTTAATTGATAGGTGAGAATATCTTAAACTAGGTGACTTGGTTGAGCAGATATTGTGCACATCCGTATTTGGAACTCCATAGCATGTCAGCTTCCTTATTGGCAATCTAGATAGACTATTTTGTAGTGTGAAAATGTCATCTTCTTTTGGTGGGCTTTTGAATAACAAATCATTAGTTTCTTTTCATTGATTATTTTATAGATTGATTACACTTTTGTTGTTAGAGTAAGTTTTACTTGTTGGTAATAAATTTGTATATTTCATCTTTAACTTTTGGGTTCATTTCTTGAACTTCAATATTATATAGGTATAAACTTGTTGAAAAAAGGATGAGAGGCATTGGTAGTATGAGGAGGGACGTAAAAGAAAAGAAGAAAGGTGTGCAAAAAAGTGCAAGTTGAAATACTGATACTGAAATCATTATGGTCATTACTGTAATGATTAAAATGTTAAGAAAAAGCTAGAGAGTGAGTTTCAAGAAAAGATCCTCAGGTTACTTGGCGCTAAGATAGGCATTGGTCATTTAAGTTTCCTATTCTTTGGGAAATTTACTATTATTTGACCATTTCAATATTCTTTTACCATACTAGAGCTACTGTGTTTGGTTGACTGTATCATTGATAGCTATTTAATGTAACTTGTCTTTACTCCTCACAGCTAAAATGGATTGATGAGGATTTCCTGAGCTATGACTTTGAGTTCAACATTTTGCTGACTTGTTAAATTTGTTAAGAGAATTTTCTTCACTTTCCTTGGAATATGTTTCTGCTGCTCTATGTGCAGGTTATTAGTCAAGATATGGAGATTAAAGGACCTCATTTAAAACATCTGACACTTCTTTAGGCTTTGTTGTTCTAGGCCCAATAAGATATCTTTATACTTACTGTTATTTGATTGTGTGGCTTGAGTTCAAATTAAGTAAATTATTTGAGAGAATGCTTAATGATTTGTTTGGCTTGCTTTGCTTAGCAATGAGTAAAAGCCCGAAGAGTGGAAGAACTCTTACCGTTTCCCTTGCATTATCATGATTGAAGTGTCATGCACCCCTAGAATCAAGATTGGAATTATTTCTCTGTCTGCCCTGCATGGATCTACATTGATTATTTATTAGCCTCGTTTTTTGATACATATTATTGTAGACATTATGTATTAAATAAGAGGTTTTGTTTGTAAAGATAGTGACCAACTTTTGTTTCAATGGATCATATTGTGTATATTGGACCTATTATGTACTTCCTAATTTTGTCCAATTACGGTGTGTTGTATTCTTAATGACACTGAATTGCAATTTTCACTTACCTCTTTAATTCAATAATTCTTTTTACTAATTATATGCCTCCTAATTGTATGGCCTCAAATAATTCAACATCTGTCATCACAACAATTTGCAAGTTAGATGGCCAGGATTGGGCAATTGGCATGCTTTCACCGTTTTCCTGCCACCTTTTTCCGCATAATCAGTAATTAATTTCATATAAATGGTCTGTTATGGCATGAAACTCAAGTGCACCAAGAATTCCACCTTTCTATTTGTCAACTGGTTATTTCATTCTCCCAATAATAAACTTCGGTTAGGGAACGCTTCCATTGACTATGAAGACAGATTGTTGCACGGAGGATTATTTTTCAAAAATATGAACCCCCTTCATTCTCAGTGTATACCTACTTCATACAATGTGTCACACTTCCATTCTCCTGACTAGAGTTGCTGCGTTAATTGTTCCGATTTTCATGTTACATGCAAAAAATTGGATAAACAATATAGAAACGATTGAACAACATCAAAATTAATGCTCGTTGTAAATTTAAAAACACCACAGATAATCAATCCTCCACAGAATAATAGAAAAAATTAATAGTGTTTACTCATTGTTTAATATTTTTGAATCTCCCATTTACTTCTCCCAACACTTCATCCCATCTCTACATGAAGCAAAATCATACTGATGAGCTTCAATTTTATTCGCCTCAATTATTTTCTTTTCGATCTTTTTCTTGACACCATGTTAGATGCAAACCTTTATTTACTCGCATTTTCTTACAACATTGCTTATTTAAAAGCTTAATCATTTTATAACCATATAACTTAAATGCAATGTATACGATTTATGATATCTCCACTTGAAAATCTGGGCATTTTCTGGGCAGCATGAAATTAACACCGCGCATCGCGCGGTGATCCCCTCCTAGTTGTACTTTATGGATGTAAGAAAATTGTATAATTTGATAATTTTTCCTTTTAAAACTTTATTACTAATCCGTTACCTCTCAATTAAAAGTGAAAAAAATCTACAATCTAATTTTAATCTGCCGCATCTACATCCATTGATGGTACTGGTTAGCAACACAAGCAAGATTAAGGTTTATGACTTCAAGAATCGTGTCTAAAATACCACAACTTTATATTAAACACTATATTGTACATACTGAATCTTCAAATCTTACAACACAAAAGAAGTGCCATTTGTACTTAGTTTGTGTGTAATAATTTATGCTTAGTATGTTTCATCCCTAATAGTCATAATTACTTTAGAGTATGTACTAATTATGGTGCGTGGGTCATCTACGAAGGGAAATAGGGCAGGAACGGTTGTCAGAGACAACCATTTCTGGCAGTTGACGGCCTTGATTTGGCTAAAAAATTGTGCGGTCCAAATTACACATTGTAACTCGATTTTCACGCCATGTGTGGGGCCCCCAACATTTTGTACTAAAATTACACGTTGTGCAAACAAAGTTACACTGTGTGTAACCAAAGTTACGCGCTGTTGAAAATGGTCAAAACTGCTGGGGACGGTTGCACCTGCAACCATCGTGCCCCTTGTCCTCTACGAAGATATTTGGAATAGTAATGAAATGATTACATTCATTAGAACAAATGATTAAAGCAATGGAGCACAGACTTCAGCTCCCTTAAGATTGGCCCACTGCTCATATGATAAGATAACAATCTTGGAACAAAAAATAATTAAACGAAACACTAAATACTTCTAATCAGAAAGTATTCTATGCCTGCTTCAATCAATATCTGTAAAGTGTTGTTACCCATATTGATTTCATAATTAAGAAGATTATATCAAGTAGAGTATTAATCATTGTGCCGGGCCATTCAAAATGCACCATCTTGCCAATAGGAAACAGCATGAATTTCTGATAACCCCTTTTGATGATTTGCAATATCATTGCTTCATTCCTTCCACCCCCCACCCTCCCAAAAAGAAAGTCCAATTTGGATGTGGATTGTTGACGTGTATGGTTGTTGATGGAGAAGACTGCCCAACAGAAACTTCTCTTGCAGCCTGAAATTTTAAGTACTGTAATGCTTAAACAGTTTTCTACGGTTCAATCAAAATATTAGTATACAAGATGTTCATGAATTGGTGAAATAAACTGGCCGGATTCACTCATAAAATTGAGTCTTCTGTTTTAGATCTTTTGATAGGGACTTCATGTCTTGAGTGACAGCTATTTTCCAACTATTAAAACCCCACATGGTAGTACAATATTGCTTAAAGATTGTCCTCTCGAACCTGCAAAGCTTTTGTCTGTTTGTTTGAATTTTCTCCAATTTGATAGATGACCATTCTTTTTCATCTTTTAGCACTACGTGAGGACAAGTTTTTGTGAAAAATGATATGCCGAGACTTGAGGGATTTTCTTCAACCAAGAAGAATGTTATACTAGAATAAGAATCTCAAATTGTCAACAATTTTAACTATGTGTCACAAGTGAGCATCTGTACATCATACATGACTATTATATGATGACCACTTCTATCACAGCGGAAGCAAATTGAAAATAATAAAAGTAGAAAAACCTACCAGATTGTAAAAGGGATAATTTCACAAGCCTCCCTTGAGGTTTCACAAACAATGATGACCACTTCTATCCTTGTGAATCAGTTTCAAGAAAACTAGTATGTTATCTACAATACATTTTGAACTGCCTTGCTTGATCAGTAGATTTTTGAGTTGATAATAAAGCTAAATTCCCATACTTCATGCATTCTATTATGTGTAAATTTATATGGTGACGAACGGATAATAGAAAAATATTAAGAGTTGAAGTAAATGCTGGTGTGTTGTTCTGATCTTATGTCAAATAAAAGTTGTATTTTGTTATTGAAAGACGTGAGTGAATTCCATAATTCTCCCCTATGGCTTAAAGAGCCATAATTTCTGCTAAATGTTTTCACTTTGAACTCTAAATGCAGCACAAAACAATAACTTTATATGCACCCAAACTCTTGCTGCTTACAATTATAATCTTGAGGGTGTAGATGCAATTGTGATGTTTATATACACATAAAAAATCTGGCGGTTGGAACTTGCAGGTAGGTGTTGCTATGGTTGTTAAAACATTGCTTATGTTTCCATGTGGTGCTTGAAGGTTCCTGAATTGTATTTATACCCTCTCAACTTTACTAATCATTTCAACCTTTTAATAACTTGCAATCTTTTACTAATACAGGGACCAAGAGGGCATTCATGAAATAAAAATCTCATCTCACTCATGAAAATAATATTTGAATCCTATTTGGATTGAATTGTTACCAAAATCTCATAGGCAAAAGTGGTTAGTAAAATTTTTAAAACCTCAGGAACTGTTAGTGTAAGTGTTAGAAATCTCAGGGGAGGTTTGTGAAATTATCCCATTGTAAAAACATCGAAGCTATCGGGTAACTAAAACTAAATTCTATGTGTAAGAGTTTTTCAAAAAGTGATCCTATACATGTACAATGCATTATATGTAAGTTTGGAAAGGATGAGATTTTTTTTTTTCAATTATGTATGTATATAAAGAAAGTGCAAGTTTTCCTACACGTGTATAAATTTTTTGTTGTTTTCAAGTGTTATATTTTTTGAAAAGTAAGATTAATTAAAAAAGTAAATAATTACAAGGTAGTATAGGTAAGATTAAATAAGGAAAGTATATAAATACAAGGGAGGGTAATAATTGTAAGTATGTGTATATATTTGGTAGATTAGATGAATATTTGGTGTGTTAACGACCCATCAAAAAAATTCTAAAAAAATTACTACATTATCGGTGCATAAAAAACATACTCATGATTTTTCTCATCGTATAAAAATGTGTTCTTGAACTTTTCAATTCTCTCAAATTATGTAGGCCGATGTAAAGTGTGTGTTCTTAAATTTTTTTCCCATTTCTTAAGTCCTTCGAGAAAATCCCAATTTTTTTTTTATATCGCCTAGAGACTTTCACGGATGATTCATGGTACTGAGGCTAAAGCTTTACAGTCAAGTTTGAAGGTCCTGTTATGGGGCGTGTGAAAACAGCAGATATGCAAGAGAGCATCAGCATATCTTGTTGGATCCTTTGACGTGATTGTAAGCCTGCTCAAATTTAAGGACGTGATTAGCTAGCTAGTATATTGTAGGCCCTGAAAAATAGAGGCAAGAAATCCCCCGTGATTAGTGCATTCATCCATGAGAAAAGATTGTCGAGCCAATTCATTGGAATTAGTCACATCCTGTTACAGAGATGAATGAGAATAATTGCTACATCAAGTCAACTCATTGCCCCTTTCGAATGCCAGCACATTTGCATGAGGGTTTTAGCATAATTTGATAGCATCAGATACAAATTCCTGTAGGAATCCCTAATTTCATTTTGTACTCCTTTTAAAAAAGAAAATTTTTTAGCAGGGATGAGATGGAATTTAAGAAGCGGAGAAGGTGCGTGTACGGGAATTAGAATCCAAAATTTCTATGTTGTGCGGCCCCAACATTACTTTTATTTTGTACTCTTCATTTCATTTTACATCAGTGAGTAGCTTGGAATATTGCAGATGCATGATTCACTACACACTTATAATGATTATATCATACTACAACAATGTGAAAGTGTATACATAATTAACGATTTAATTGGAGTCTGATGATTCATCATGTGGTTTGTTGATTGATGATGCCTTTGTCCTGCGTCAAGATTTCATGTGTTGAGAAGATTTATGGATTCCTAGAACTTTTTAATGTTCCTACTCACAACTTTCCTAAGTATGCTATCAATTCTTTGTATATGGAAAAACCCTTCTTCATCTTTTATTAGTTCTTCACTTGTTGCAGATTTGGTTCCATGATTAACAAAATTATTCTATTTTTATTATCAAAGACAAATTGGAGTCTAAAAAGGTAATAATTAACCAACCCGATTGATTATTCATAATTTCTCAAGTTGTGATGCTCACCTTAATTGGGTCCTTAATCAGGTTTACAGATGAGTCATTGGTGCACAAATCATAGAATCACTACTGGTACTGACAGGTTTTGAATCCTCTTGTGAAGCTGGGAATTGAATTGATTTCTCCGCAGCTTTTTGGCCATTGGGTTGACCTCCAACCGAAGCAAAGCCAAACTTCAAGTCATATCTCCATCAAACAACGCATATGACGTGCCCATCACTTTCACAAATACTTGATCCAGCAATCAAACCAAGCCATTAAATGTACCAAAGAATTTGTCATGAAATTTACAGGAACCTGCTGCATATATGCAAAGCTCATACGTGATTATCTGTCCTAAAGGACCTATGTATCATCAACCTTAATTAGCTTATAGTGGATGGTCAGTATTTGGCTTGGCAATCATGTCAAAATGATGAATCTGTTACATGTTTTTTTTTTTTTTTTTTTTTTTTGGGATATGTTTGCATTATGGATCAAGTTACTTCAAAACCAAAACTTTTGATGACAAGTTCTGAATCAATTATGGTCGGTAATTTTTTTTGTATTTTATTTGGTCTGTGATCCCATGGAAGAAACCTTAAAATATGTCATCTACACACATGGCCATAGTCTAGCCAATTTACATTTAAAGGGCCCTTTTAGTTCCTAAATTATAAGTTTAGGACAAGGGTCCACTCTAATCTTAGGAGACAAACATGAAAGGATTCTGTTTATGTTCTCTTTTGTCAAATATATCAATTGTTTGGATTCTAGTTTTTTTTATTCCATTGAGGCCAATATCCTCCTTACATACATGAATGGGTCACACACACACACACACACACACACACATATATATATATATATATATATATATATGCACAAACAAAAAGTGACTAAAAGCCTTGAAAAATACTTTGCTCAAAGCAGTAGAGTGCTTGAAATTTTAGTTATTTTGAAACCCAAAAAAAAAAAAACCAAATAAATTTTCCTTGTAATATCATCAGAGTTCGGTAAGTAATCAAAGGTTTTTCTTTTTCTTTTTGTTTCTTTTTAGGGTTCTTTTTGGCAAAATGTCTTTCATGTTTCAACTCATCTTCCACCTGCGAAGGAGAATAGCCTTAGCCTTAGCCTTATATCGTTTGCACCTCAAGAAGCTGGATACAATCAACATCTCCAATGAGGGTTAGGTCTCCCCTAGAATGGAAAAGAATATGTAATCTTCCAGTTACATGTGATGTGAGATTCCTGTGAGGAAATATTAAATAGTGTACCTAGTATTAACAAAAATATATACTTACCATTTTCATGCCTAATGAACGTATGCACAAAAATGGTTTAGAGTTTTGACATCTGTGCACGTAGTGGTTTCTTGTAAAGACAAATACACCAGTTTTCTAATGCCGAAGTCTAGGCTAAATGCAAACTGTCTTCAGAATCTAGTAGTGTCACTCAAAGAAAAAACAATATATTGTTTTGTTTGTTTGGGGTATTTTCTGTTTTTCCTATCTGTTTTTTTTGGGGTTAGTGGAAATAGAATGAAAGATTTGTTTTATTTTTCACTAAATATAGAACACGAATGTTTTTATTAACTTCAGCTGAAACATTAGCAAACAATCAAGATAAATGCTCTCAACTTATCCATCCAATAGCATTACAAGTTTTTTCTTCAGATAAACTTGTGATGCTAGATCTGATATGATTGAAGTTGTGGGGCAATATTGAAGTTTGGGGGAGGAGATGGGGGCTACTTTTGTTTTCAAGATAAATGCTTTTTCAAACATATGGGCAATGCACTTTAATCGTTAATGATTTTGGTGTATGAAGGTTTAGCCTAATGTAGCAGGCTAATGTGACATGGAGGCATGGATCACAGCTTGCAAAACCAAGCATATACTACTATCTATTTTTTTTTTCTTGTCGCAACTATATCCTGTCGGAGGAAGTCATTTGAAAGTGACAGTCACAATTAAATGATAAGGTGGAAGGCAAGGGTTGAACTTTGACATCCCACTCTCGTCAAGAATTTAAATGTCTTCCTGGTGGTATCAACAGTGACAAGCATATACTACTAGTATCTAGAAAATAAAAAAATTTTAAAGTAATAAAGCAAAGAAAGATTAACCTAAGAATTGTAGCCCACACCTCTACATTAGCTTTAAATGTTATTTACTTGTTATTGTAATGTTTCTTTTTCTAAAGACTAGCCATGGTTTTTAAGATTATCTTCAACTCTTTTAACTTGTTTGTGACTTGTAATTCCCGACACAAATGCAATGATTTTGGAGATAACGTTTCTCTCAAGCATACATGCTCTTGAATGCTCATTTCCCTTTTCTTAGTAGGCTTGGAGAATGATGCATATGCAATGCAGCAAGAATGAAATTGCCTTAAAATAACATCCTTTCCTTTTTTTTTTGATCAAAGGAAGAGCAGGATTTAAGGAGGAGGAAGGAAACCAGAACTCAGAGAACTTCTTCTTCTTTTTCTTTAAATTTTTTTTTTGGAGAATTCATATATCATGATTTAGCATCTCTTTTTGGCTAAACAATTACTCATGTATGAATGGAAAATGAAACCGTTCGACAAAGATAAAGCCAAGAAGCGAAGAAATCTTGGATGAGGGCCCAATATGACTCATTGACTTGAACAGTGAGATGGAGAAGTTGGCCACCGTTTCTTTTCATAACTGCAATGGACCTAATCAATTTCATGTTTCATTTGTGTCGGTCTTGCTTGTTCTTACACAAGTTTCCTTTGTTTCTTTCTGATCTAAGATACAAGTTTCGTTTACACCATACGAGCTAGCCAGTTCTCTTTTTGTTTTTGTTTTTCTTTGTTGTTTTAGAGGGAAAATACTGAAGTAAATAATAAAACCTATTTGACAATCTACTCACTAAAATGAGTCTTGAACTCAAGGGTCATGCTGTTCAGAAGCTCTTGGTTCTTTCTCCATGGAAGCAAGCAAAATTACAGCCTATTTTAGGGGCATTAAGTTATAAGAATGCAATAAAAGCTACCAAATAGTAACAGTCATTAATCAGTTTTAGAGTGGAATAATGAAAACTTCTGGTCGTGATAGAGTCATTATTATTTACTTTTGCAGCAAAAGTAGTCATCTTTCTACTGTTTTCCCTCATCACAATTCATATTTTCACATCTTTCATTCCCAAGTCAGTCATAACAGAGTCTAAAACTGCTCCTCACAATCTTCCTAAAATCACTGCACTAATTTTAACCGACATTTGACCTGCAAACATAAAAAGATATTCTATATCTCTGGATTTTCAACTGACTGTACTTTTTTTGTATGCACTGTTAGTTACTATACTGCCCCAAAAGTGTAGCAAATTCTCTGTAAAACTTGATTTCTTTTTTTCTTTTTTCCTGATAAACAGTCATCTTCACAAGAAATTAAAAGTGCCAGCCTAAGTCCAGGCCGTGGGATTGGGAGGTTTAGTTAGCTAGCTTGCACCTCTCCATGCTTCCCTTATACTGTTTCTTCTAAGACATTCTTATTACCTACCACTGATAACTCCATCCCTCCTTATTTATCCTGTTCATTTTCTAGTAAGTATTATAACTGATTCCACCACCACCACCACCATCACAACGATCGCATTTATCATTGTGTCATTAGTAACATTTTTCACCATTCTATGTACCTGTACTCTCTTTGCAAGTACAGCCCTTTTGTTGTTGTTATCTGGTCAAGGCATTTTCAAGGAAAACAGGGCAGTTGGTGGAGCTGGAAAACTGAATCTGAGCTCAGATTTGAACTTGCATTTGTTAATGCTGGGAAAAACCTGTTGGATTTCCATCAGTTGGCTCTGAATTTGATGCTTTTGAGGCCTGTGTTGATTTGGGATTCTGGGAAATGTGCTGATATTGATATTGATCTTTTGGACTTCTTTGGTCAGAGATCTGTAGTTGCAGTTTAGTTTGCTTCTCCAAGAAAAGGTTGGATTTTGATGGGGTGTCTGAGATCTATGCTGTGAAGGGTCGTATACACATCCCATTTCACGCAAGGTATGTAACTGAGAACGAGTAAAGAAATTCGAGAACTCATCACATTGCTCTGCTTTTCTTTCATTTATAATTATTTCCATTTACTTAATCTGTTCTACCTGTTCATGTGAAGAGTGAAACAGCAAATTTAGGATATGTTCGTGAAGTAACTTTTTGGTAGGGAGAAAATGTGCTTTCTGCAGTTGGTCTTCTTTACTTTTGTGTTCTTGATCTATCAATTGAGAGTGAAAAAGATGCATCTGTCTTGTTGCATGGAGTAACTTTTGCTGAGTGTTGTTTCCACAAGCTTTGGTCTTGTTTATCCAGCAACGCGATTTTAAAAAGACTGCTAAGTTGTTACATACTCATATTGGCCTCATGCCAACCAAACAAAGAGCTAGTGGAAATAAGTAACTTTTTTGTTTTTGGTCTTATAATATTCAATAGTATGAGCATTAGAGTCATTTGTCTCGAGCCATTAATATTTGCGAATTCTATGTTCCTTGTGCTAATTCATAGGTTTTTGTTTTTGGCTTTAGAGAAGATGGCTTCTGATTTAAATGCTCAGCTATCCAAAAGCACTTCAATATTTGGTCTGAAGGTTTGGGAACTGATTGGAATCATTGTTGGGGCATTGATTGTAGTTATCCTCTTTGTGCTGACATGCTATCTTACTTCAAGAAAGAAATCAAAAAGAGCTAATGAACAGATTCCCTTCAGCCAAATACCGGCAGTTTCAAAAGAAATTAAAGAAGTGCGAGTGGAGCAAGTATCAACAAATGAATTTACTCCTCGTGAAGGGATTCTTCTTACTATTCATGACAAATCTAGTGATAAAGAGTCTGACAAGGTTTTGGTCCATTTGGGAACGGGGAAAACGAAGAATGCAGATAACGGCAGTCAATCTGGTTCTTTTCATCATGTTGAAAGAGATGGTTGTGGATCACAATCTGGAGAGGAAGGGAGCTCTGGAACATTTGGTGCATACAAAAATTCGCATCCAATAACAGCTCCTTCTCCTCTGACTGGACTTCCAGAATTTTCGCATTTGGGCTGGGGCCATTGGTTTACTCTTAGAGATCTTGAGCTTGCAACAAACCGATTTTCAAAAGAAAATGTTCTTGGTGAGGGTGGATATGGTGTTGTTTACAGAGGAAAACTAATTAATGGTACTCCAGTGGCCGTTAAGAAGCTCCTCAACAACTTGTGAGTGCCTTAACAAGTTGATTCAAATAGCAACATTTCCCCTTCTCATAATTCTTTTTCTGTTAAGTGTCCAATTGTCTCTTGATTTTTCTTCTTTTCACCAGAGGTCAAGCTGAGAAAGAATTCAGAGTGGAAGTTGAAGCCATTGGGCATGTGCGTCACAAAAATTTGGTCCGGCTTCTAGGATATTGCATTGAAGGAATTCATAGGTATCTGCTTCATCATTCTTTAATCACTCTTTATTTTTCTTAAATAAATAAGCTTAAGATCCAAATACTCGAGTCTTCATGCAATGATAATCATGACTCGGACATCATGCATTTGATACATGTGAATAGTCTACCTGCTAGCAGAGATTCAAAAGCTGAAATCTCATTGTAATTGACTTGATCATCTAGCAATCACAAGAGCTACCATTCAAGCTAGTTTTGAGTTAGGAGTTCTTCTGTTTAAATATCTGTTAGGTGACATAAGTGCACCACTAAAAATGTCAGGATTAGTATTATAGTTTTAATAATGTGCACTGTCAGCACTAATCTCATTCACTGTCAATATTTCAGGATGTTAGTCTATGAATATGTCGGCAATGGTAATCTAGAGCAATGGCTTCATGGAGCTATGCGCCATCATGGCTATCTTACTTGGGAGGCCAGGATGAAGGTTCTACTTGGCACAGCTAAGGCGTAAGTTGAATCACTGGTATCATTTGTCCAACAAAATCAGTTTAAACAAAATCTGTTTAATTAAAACTAGATACATTTGGTGCAGTCTTGCTTACTTGCATGAAGCAATTGAGCCAAAAGTTGTTCACAGAGATATAAAGTCGAGCAATATACTGATAGATGATGACTTCAATGCCAAGGTCTCTGATTTTGGTCTAGCTAAGCTGCTCGGCGCAGGGAAAAGCCACATCACAACACGGGTTATGGGCACCTTTGGGTGAGCAATCTTTTACTTTTCTATCCAAATGCAAGACAGGTTTTTATGATGTTCGACTTTTCGGGGATGCTAATGAATATGTTGTCTTACTGTCTATGATTGTGGAGGGACATCTTACCGTCATTTACTTATCTCTGCACAGATATGTGGCTCCTGAATATGCAAATACTGGTCTTTTGAATGAAAAGAGTGATGTTTATAGCTTTGGTGTTGTACTTTTGGAAGCAATTACAGGAAGAGATCCAGTAGACTATGGTAGGCCGCCACAAGAGGTACACATTACTACCTCCCATCCTGTTGGATTAGAAATTGCAATGCATTTTCCGATTTTTAAAGGCTATTCAGACATGGGTTATGTGATTTCTCAAGTTTGAACTTACTGCAATTGTGCGAGAGAGAGTTTTTGCAAGATGGACCCTCTGAAATCCTGATTATTGTTTGAACTCTCAATACCATTCATTATACACTAGAGTTTTCTCTCTTTTCTTCTGTTTGATAGTCTAGAAAGAGCAACAGATAGAACCAAGGTTATCCATTTAAGCAAATTTCCTGCAAACGTTGCAACACTTAAGCTTCATCATGTAAATTTTTGAAACAAAATATGAGGCTATGTTGGCATACTCATGATATGATGTTCCTCTGGTATTGTACAATAAACATTTCTGCTTGCTTTTCAGCATGAACTATATTTTCCAAACAGTTACTTAATCAAGCCTGTTTATCTATGTTAAATCTTCTCAAGACTAATCTTGCATGCATTTGATTGTTCTATCTGATATCCTACATAGCAAGCTCCCCATTTTTAGACTGTAGTATGTACCGCACTACAAGGGCAACTTATGTAAAATCACTATTGTATAATCTTTTTGGTTTATTAACACTATCTTGCATCCCAAAAAACTGTCTTTGGTGACTAGAAAAAGACAAGCCAGGAAAGGAAATGCAGAATGGCGTGTTCTGGTTAAGGCTATGTATTTAGTACATAGCTTTACTTTTTGCTATTACTCGTTTGTCTTACCCATGATGCCTCTGAGTTGCCTCAAGAAAGTTCTTTTTGTGCAAAGTCTTTTATTGGGATGTAATTATATTCCCTTTTCTGGATGGTTCACTTTCATGCTTTTGGTGGGATGAAATTTCGATTATTCTGTTATTCTGGAATGTCATTTTTTTCTTATAATATTAACAGATGATGCGATCGTCTTTATATAGCTCAATGAGGTGCTTGAGCTTTGTAGTAACTCAATTTTTTGGATGCAGTGGAAAACTGCGGGGACTGTATGTGCTTCTGCGATACATCGGCCGGGTGCAAAGATTCCAGATTTTTACAATAGGGATGCATTTGAGTCCACCCAGGTGCCTTTTTATTGCTTGCCTGCAGCTTAAATGTGTTTAATTGCAACTTTTTCATCCGCCTGTGTGGCATAAGCTATTTATTGTGACGCTTAATTAGCATACAGTTAACGTCTTTTGAGAGGATACTACCAGTAACAACCATCATGCTACAAAGATATATATATATATATATATATTCACCCGAAAAAAAAAAAGGAGTGTTGATTACTCTGTTTGGAATGTCCAATAAACACATTTGTGGCAGTTTTTGTTTATTGACTACTGAATTGTTCTTGTTAGTTCTAATGTGGTAAATGAAGATATAGAATTCCATTTTACTTTGTTGTTTAAATTGTCCTTTTATCTGTCTTGTAGATTGATGAATGGCTTGAGTATGCCCCTGTTTTCTCTTCTGGCTCTGAATTTGAAGGGGCATGTGGCTATGTGGACAGATATCTACTGCAGCATACTTTTTTAGTCGGTCATAGTCTGTCAATTGCAGATATAGCAATCTGGTCAGCACTTGTAGGTAAAATATTGTGTCTCCAGTTGTTATTAGTTTGCCTAGTTAATTGTGCATCTGTATTTAGTGACTATTAAGCCTCATTCTTTTTTAATCAAATATTCCGCTCTAAGCCAGCATATCAGGAGATGGAGCATAAACTGGATGGATGAATTTTAAGTGGAGAAATTTTCTCTGACTCGTACAAGTAATATAATCTTCTTTTCATAATTGTTGTAATGAGCTCAGTCAGTTGATTACATTTGTCCTCTTTTCCTCCTCTCCTTATTGAATATCCTAATTGGTGGATCCAAATCATCCGTGAGCACTGAAATTACAAGTGATGTAGGTGTTATGGCTATGATACATTAGCTACATAAATACCTCAAGGACAAGTAGATATCAACCTATACATTGATTTAGTGTCAGTTGAGTTCGATGTACAAACTTTGCATAAATAACAGCAGTTGCCTATTAGTTTTGGTTAACTGTTGATTTTATCTTAAATTTATTTCCTAGCTATAGTAGCATATGTTTTACTTCAAACGCACAGAAGTGATTTGATATTTTTAGCATATACAATGAATTGATTATTTGATGGATTGGTGGCTACATAGCACCTGGATTTGCCCTTCTTTTGTTTTTTTGGGCAGAAAGTGTGGCCTAACTTAGACTCTTTGAGCCTTTGCCAGGTTGAAATTTATCTGGTTTTGCTTATTGTTCATGACGGAAAGCAGTCTGGTGGACTATTGGTGTATAAGGTTCCCATCGTAGAAACCTTGGATAGACATTATTTTAGTCCTCTCATTGAGCACGCGACTGCTCTCCTTTTATTGCTTCAATGTCTTTGAAATCAGTGGCCATATGTGAATGTAATCCAAATTAAAATTTCCATATAATTTAAAATAGAAAAAAAGGTATATGTAGATGTTAAAGTTTTTCTGACATTGGAGGGCACTCCAGAATTTAGACTTGGTGAACCGCTTTTGGTCAAATATGTATTTGATGCTGAAGTGTGAGTCAGGAGAATAATATGTAAGCAATAAAGATTGATCTGGTTTTGAGCCCCTATTAGTTGTATTTGGATGAGGATGATTAAGGTTGATCTGTTTTTGGTAAAGTAGATTTTTTTTGTTGGAGCACTATTTTGCATTTTCTCCTGTCACTTTATTTCTCACTTTTGGAAGTTTGTTCTAAATAAAGACCCTTTTTGCTAGCATACCAGGATGGGTTCTCAATACTAGTTCATTTGCAGGAACAGGGCAGAGATGGCAAAGTCTACGCAATTCCAAGAAATATCAAAATCTAGTACGGTGGTTCAACTCTATACATGACGAATTTGATGCAGCTCTGAATGAAGTGACTGCAATGTATATTGGAAAAAAAGGTTTAGGGACTCAAGCAGTTTCTAAAGTCCGAGATCAACAGGTTTCTACTTCGTCTTCCAATAGTGTGAATGGCGCTGTAAGTGAGAAGGGTGTGGGAGGGAACCGACCTGTATTTGAGGTGCATCTTCCAGATGCACAGGTTGGAAAAGTACGGGTGAGATTTGCTCCAGAACCTAGTGGTTATCTACATATTGGTCATTCTAAAGCAGCACTGTTAAACAAGTATTTTGCTGAGAAATATGACGGTAAGCTGATTGTGCGCTTTGATGATACGAACCCTGATAAGGAGAGCAGTGAATTCGTAGATAATCTTCTCAAAGATATTGAAACTTTGGGGATTACCTATGAGGCTGTAACCTACACATCAGACTACTTTCCCAACATGATAGAAATGGCCGAGAAATTGATTCATGAGGGTAAAGCCTATGTTGATGACACAACTCGGGAAAAAATGCAGCAAGAACGGATGGATGGGATAGAATCCAAGTGTAGAAGAATAGCGTGGAGGAGAATCTGAGCTTATGGAAGGAAATGGTTGCTGGATCAGAAAGGGGTTTGATGTGTTGCCTCAGAGGCAAGCTGAATATGCAGGATCCAAACAAGTCCCTTTGTGACCCAGTATACTACCGTTGCAATTTGACTCCTCACCACAAGATTGGTGCTAAATATAAAATCTATCCTACTTATGATTTTGCATGTCCGTTTGTTGATGCCGTGGAAGGTATTACCCATGCACTTCGATCTAGTGAGTATCACGACCGTAATGATCAATACTACTGGATCCAGACGGATATGGGTTTTCAAAAAGTTCATATATATGAATTTAGCAGGGTGAATCTGGTCTATACACTTCTTAGCAAGCGTAAACTGCTATGGTTTGTTCAAAATGGAAAGGTTGATGGCTGGGATGATCCTCGTTTTCCTACTGTACAGGGAATAGTACGCAGGGGGCTGAAGATTGAGGCACTGATACAGTTCATGCTGGAACAGGTAAGATATTTTTTCAAGACCACAATCCAAGTATGTCTGTTTCGTTCAACATCCAACTTGATGGAATGAGGCTGGCAATGCAATGCATTCTAATATTTCCTCCTATTAGTTGCTCTTGAAATTCGTTTTTTTGGGGTGTTGTGCATTCTTTAGTTTCCATCTTGCTTGCTTCAGTTTTTCATTTCTACTACTCTTTTTGTGCTTCAAAAACAGAATGGTAGAGGGTATATCAGGGGAGAGAATAGTTAGTTCCTTGATCTAATAGACTTGTAACTTGTTTTTGGTGTAATCATCTTAGGGGGCATCCAAGAATCTCAATCTCATGGAATGGGACAAGCTTTGGGCCATTAATAAGAAAATTATTGATCCAGTCTGTCCCAGACATACAGCTGTTATAGACCAACAACGGGTCTTGTTGACTCTAACTGATGGCCCTGAGGATCCATTTGTGCGACCTAAGCATAAAAAGTATGAAGGTGCTGGGGAGAAAGCAACTACGTACACCAAGAGAATATGGATAGACCAGGATGATGCCCGATCAATCGCAGCTAATGAGGAAGTGACTTTAATGGATTGGGGCAATGCTATAGTAAAGGAAATCGAGAAGGACCAAGAGGGCAATGTAACACAATTAACTGGTGTTTTGCATCTTGAAGGATCTGTCAAAACAACAAAGTTGAAGCTCACGTGGTTGCCTGATACTAACGAGCTTGTTACACTCTCTTTGGTGGATTTTGATTATTTGATCACTAAAAAGAAGGTAATCCTTTGTTACTGGTTGAATCAATTGTCATTTAAATGTATCTGTCCTAATTGGGGCTGATTGAAGTTTGCATATGTTTCAATTGCAGCTGAGGAGGATGAAAATTTCGTGGATGTTGTTAATCCATGTACCAAGATGGAGACTGCTGCTCTTGGTGATTCCAACATGAGGAACTTGAAGCGTGGTGACATAATACAGCTGGAGAGAAAAGGGTACTTCAGATGCGATGTTCCCTTCATAAGACCTTCAAAGCCCCTAGTACTGTTTGCCATCCCAGATGGCAAGCAAACCACAGTGATGAAGTTCAGAACTTAAGACAGGTCATTCTGCATTAACTTTGGGAATGCTATCTATTCTGCCCACTAGTGGGATTGTTGGTTGTAAGCCAATTTGTGACTGTGAAACTACACGAGTTACTAGTCAATTTTCTTTTTTCTTTTTCCTTTCTATTTTTGTATGTTGGATTCTTAAAGATGCTTGTATTATCATTTTTGTAGTGTCATGCAACGCGCTCAGGATCACTGAATCATATGAACGTTTTTGACGACTTTTAACTCCCTTAGTCTTCCTCAATCTTTAGCTCTTTTCTCCTCACTTTTATTTTCCATGTCTCCCAAACTAGTGCAAGCTTTCGTTATTCTATTTGCTGGGCGAGATATAGCCGTTGAACTGGTCTTGGTCAGAGCAGAGCAGTGCCATTCATATGACAAGTGAGCGAGCCAATAATTAACGTGGCCGGATATTTTAGAAGCGTAGAATTAGTTGAATACGGATCTGAGCTGGGAACTTAGAACTAGGAGTTGGCACTTTTTTTGGCTTGTTCTGCCTTGCAAGTATTTTTTATGTAGACTGGAAAAAGATGCAGAATAGAAAATCATGGCAATGACAGCTTTGCTTAAAAAATTTGTAGTGCCATGCTTTTACCCGTTTGGACTGCTTAAAAAATTAGTGGTGCCATGTTTCATTCCTATCCATTGGGATTGCTATTTTTAGGAGGCGATCGAGAAATGTATTCATGAAAAGCAAAAAATCACAACACAAACAAGGCTAAATCGAGATCATATATCTACGTGTATCCCTTAGATATATTATTGTCAAATCCATATAAAATCG